TTTTCGATAACGTCACATATAAAATATCGAATTTTCAAAGTCATAATTCTTCTTTATGTTCGGTAATGTGGTTTAATTTTTTTCTGGCGTAAAGATATGCATTTTAACTTTCTCGTACCAAAAAATCAGTTAATTCTTAAAACTTTGGTGTCATGAAAGGAATACCTTAACAAATTAGTAATTTACATATGTATTTATATATTTATATATAAGGTATGCCATTTTAAACGCCCCAGGCAAATATCTCGAAAAATATGGAAGATATAAAAAAACGTTTTAGACAAAAGATGCATCAAAGAGGACAAATATCGACAAAACCAATTTTCAAATAAATCTATTTTTTAAGGTCACATAAAGGTCATCGCCATTTTTTCATAATATGATTTTTCTCATTATTCTACATATAAAAGTATTAAGATAGTTGTAAAGAAATTAATAGTTTACAAGATATTTCATATTTTATTCTGGCACATTTTGGCGAAATATAAAGTACCTCATAAACTATTCATTTTTTAGTAACTGTACCTTTAACACTTTTATATACAGAATAATAAAATGAATCAATTAGTGTAAAAAATTGTTGCTTAGCAAAAAAATTATGTAATTTGGAATATGCAACCACATGTCTTTCTTGAAAATAAGTAACAATGTGTTTTCTTTACACCAACTGATAAAAATGTTGCATTACAAGAAATAAAAAAATGCTAGTATGTTTATTCTATACATTCCTTAGCTATACTATAATTTTATAAAGAAAGTGAAAGTATTTACTATAATTATGTTATTCCTTATAAACAAATATACTAAAACCTTATAAACAACGTACTAAAAAGTTACATATGGATGCATCCAAAACATTTTTTATTATAGAGTAACTCTGGTATTTTTACGCCACGCGGGGTTTTACGCCGCAGATGTTAGAAAAAAATAGAAAAAATGAAGTTACTTCCTCGCAATTATTCTTTTATGTGCCTTTATGCCATATTAGTATTGTGTTGTAATTTCAGTTCTTTACTGTTAATATTAACGAAACTGTCGTGATTTGAATTGATTTCTCACCGTAGTAAGAAGCGCGATCTTGTGTTACGACCTACGTAAAATAATTACTGTAGGAAATGTAAAAAGTTTAATAGTTATTTTATGATACATAAGTGTAGAGGGATAGTAAATGATGGAATACAGCAAAATACAAGTGCATAGCTCTTGTATTTTTTGTTTACCTTAATATTTTGTATATTCCTCCTGTGTTTAGGATATACGGCAAGTTAGCATGCGGGATTTAGACCATAGTACGGATACTTTGTAAAACTCGAAATCTCCTACGTGTTCTTTTTCCTTCTCTTTTTGGACCGTACAACAATAATAATCTTTAATGCACCTATCGTTCTTCTATTTTCTTTTTAAAATTTTTTAGTTTTATAATTTGTTTATTATTCTTACATTTTAATAAACTTCTTACACACATTTTATAACTTATTATGACATTTTATTGCCTTATTTATAAACATTATTTGTAACTTTTTATAAGGCTTACATTTTACCCATGAATGTCACATAATCCACCCTTCTAGGATATATGGCAAAAATGCAAGTGTTTCTAAGTTTTTTTTAATTAAATACAATCAATATTTTATGTTTCTAGTAATAGACAGTATAAAGTATTTATTAGTATAATTCATTTGCCTTAAGCATAGTAAATAGTACTCGATAAATTAAGTTTCCCTTAGCTGTGGCGTATATACCGGAGTTACCCTATTATATGTTTTTGTAAACAGATTTAAATCAAACTGCAAGTAAATTATTCATTATTATCTAACGCCTTTAACGTTCAGCATCGACTCGTTATCTGTTATTAGTTTAAAGAAATTAACAATTCGTCACTTTTCCCCCTTTCTCTTACATAATATATGTACTATGTGTATTATAGGTACAACTAATAATAAAAGTTTTGATCTTTTTAAATCTAACAATAATATTAATTAATAGTCACAGAAAACATAAATACAGAGTATTCTAAAAGTTAAATATGTAGTATAACAGCACTCTCTCCAATTCCTTCGAAATTTTCAAATTTAAAAAAATTTGTCGTTCATTATATAATTATAATTAATACACTTAAAATATCACAATGTCGGCAAGTAAAAAAATGATAATTGAAATAATAGTAGTTTATGGATATACATTTATGGATATACATTTATTTCCTATCTCGTCCTCTCCCGCCGCTTTACTTTTTTTCAGCCCTATCAGCACTCTCTCTACCTCTTCCCATCCTATCCCCTCTCCTTTCTCTACTTCCCCCACTGAACCCTGCTCTTTCTCCTCTCCTCCTAACCTTCGCTTGTATTCCGTTCCTTCTAACATCTCCCTTAAGTATTCATCCCACTCCTCTATTGTTATCTCCTTATTAATTTCTACTCTTTTTCTCCTTTTTTTCTTTATTACTTCATACACCTGCTTCTCTGTTCTCGCCTCTCTTACCCCTTCCAGCAGATTTCTCTTTTTTTCTTTTTTCCTCTCACACATTTCCTTATACTCCTTCTTTCTTCTCTTATAATCTTCTTTATATTTTCTTCCTCTTTTCCAGTCTCTCAATAACTTTTCTACCTCCTTCCTCTTTTTCCTACAGTCCCTATCCCACCATTCTCCCTTTCCTTCTGCCCCTCTTTTTACTCTTCTCATCCTTTCTTTCATCTTAATTTTTTTTGTCAACTTTTTGATCTCTTTATCTATTGCCCCCCTCCCCTACCTATTTCTACCTCCACCGTTCTTCTTCTAAACTCTTCTCTTGCCTCTTCCGACCAGTCCGTCTTTTCCACCCATCTCTCTTCCTCCGCTATTGTCCCTCTCTTCTCACCACCACCCCCTTTATCCACCCGTACTGCTACTGATTGGTGATCCGAATCTACCTCACACCCCACCTCCAATCTTGTCACTCTTTCCCAAACCTTCCTATCTCCCTTCGCGTAATTAATCACCGTTTCCCCTCTTTCTCCTGTAAATTCACCCCTCCTTCTCATCTCCCTCCTTTGCTCCATTCATAATTTGTCACCCTTCCTCTTCAACCCATCTAATCAGCCCTTTCCCCTGCCTATTTATCATTTTATCTTTTGATTTTCTTTCAACTCCCTCTTCTCCATCTTCCAGCGCTCCTTTCTCCCCTGTTCTTGCATTGAAATTGCCTTCCATTATCCATCTCTTTTTTCTCCCTTCCTCCTCCTTCACCGATTTTATCTTACCCATTATCATAAGTTGCCGCTTACGTAAATTGTTGCCAATCTCCATTTCTCCTTCCATTTTACTTCTCTAATCATTAAACCCTCTTCCTTTATCCATTCTTCTTCCTCTTCTAACCCCTTTCTGACTCCCATCATTATCCCACCTATTGCTCTTCCTCTTCTTCCAACTCTTTCTTTCTTTACACCCTGTATCCTCCAGTTGAACTCCTTTGGCACGTTATTCTTCTTCTTCTCCCGCTCCTCCTATTTCAGCCATGTTTCCACCAACCCCACGACATCCCACTTTTTTATCCTTTCCTAAAACCTTTCCTGTTTTCCCTTCACTCCCGCTACATCCCAAAAACCTATCTTTGGGCTTCCTTTCTGTTCCTTCCCCTCCTCCTCCCTCCTGCATTCCTTTCTTCCACCTGCCCCTCTTTTTCCTCTCTTTCACTCCTTTTTACTTTCCACACTCTACTTTCTCTGACTCTTTTCCCCCTTCCCCTCAGCCTCACCACACTCTTTTCCTCCCTACTCTCCCTCTCCTCCCTCTTCTCTTCACCCTCCCATCCCATCGTTTCTCCTCCCTCCTTACTATCTTTCCATTTCATTTTTCCGTCTCCCTCTCTTCTACTCTTTCCCATCTCCTCTGTTCCTCTTTCTCCCACCTCCTTTTTCATGCTCCTTTCTCTCATTTTCCCTTCCATTTATCAGGACTTTTTTTTCCTATTCCCAACTCCACCTCTTCCCCTCTATCCAAAACTTTCCGTACTTTACCCAATCTCTCCTTCTATTCCTTTTCTCCTTCTCAGCTATCCTCTCCAGGTTCCATCGCATTTTTCTTTGATGCTTTCCTTCATGGTCATGTCATTCTTTATTCTTTCCATCCTCCCTTTCAACACATTCTTCTTCTGCATTACCTCTCTTTTTCTTACTCTATCTTTTAACCTAACTAAAACCATTTTCTCTTTCCCCGTCTTTCTTCCCAGGGGTAGAAGGGAGTATACCCAAAATTGTTCAAAATTAAACACACACACACACACACACACACACACACACACGCACGCACACGCACACACAATATTACCACACAATGGGTAACTTGGTATCCTACAACTTTTGTATAAAACATTTCTTCCGCAAACGTCATCTTTCCAAGATAATCCAATGAGTCGACCTTTCTGTTATACCCAGTGCAAATGTCGGATCATCCGATAGATGGCATTCGATGAGATCCGTTTCTCGTATTTAAAATATGACAAACAATGGTATAAGAACGGTATATAAATCAAGTGTGCCGTACAACTTATATCAGTTGTATCGAAGTCCACACTTATAATAAAGTGGCACACAATTTTGAACTAAATCGATATATTTATAGTTTTAAAGCATTTTACATCCTTTCATAATTTTTAATTATATCTGAGCAGCTCTGGATACATTCGGTAAATAATTATATCTTGGCAGATCAAATAATATCTAGTCAGAGCTGGTTATATCTGTTCAGATCTGGCCAGATAAAGACAATTTGAAGATAAAATTATATCTGGCCAAATTTGACCAGATCTGGTCATATCTCGGTAGATCTAATTCTTTTTTCCTAAGAACCTATTTAAGAAAATGAAGATGACCTATTTCCGAACCGCCTCCACCTGGACAAAAATTATTATTGCCATATGATATCTCCTCTTTGTAGCGTGTAATTTTCGTTACACAAATCTTCCGCTGGACCTTATAAGTTCAAAGATATTTAAGGTGATAATAGTTATTGTTCCACCCTGTATATTAAACTGGATAAATTATAATGTATTAATAAATAATTAAACAATTTTTAAATACATAAGTATAATTAATATTTGTGCTTACTAATAATAATTCTATGTAATAATTAAGATATTAATTATGGCTTACTAATAATAAATCTATGTAATAAGATATTAATTAATTATGTTACAGAAAATAGCAGCACTGAAATTGGGGCACAATCGCAACAATCACATCAACAACAGCAACATCAACAGCAACATCAACAACAATATGGAGAAGTAAATCAATTAGGCGGTGTATTCGTCAATGGAAGACCACTTCCCAATGCTGTCAGATTGAGAATAGTCGAACTTGCACAATTGGGTATTAGACCATGCGATATCTCGCGACAACTACGTGTCAGTCACGGGTGTGTCAGTAAGATACTGGCACGCTATCATGAAACGGGTAGTATTCTGCCGGGCGCGATTGGTGGCAGCAAACCACGTGTAACCACACCGAAAGTCGTGCAATATATTAAACAATTAAAATTAAAAGATCCAGGGATCTTTGCCTGGGAGATCAGGGATCGACTATTATCTGACGGTGTTTGCGACAAATATAACGTCCCATCAGTGTCGAGTATATCAAGGATATTGAGAAATAAAGTTGGCACAACGACAACTATGCATCATCATCCACATCATTCAGCTCACCATCATCATCATCATCATCATCTTTATGCAGCCGCCGCAGCGGCTGGTGCAGCCCTTTGTCCAGTGCCGTATCCACCAACACCTTATCATCCAACAGCACCGCCTTCCATCACACATCATCATCATCAAGGTTAGTATTTTCTGTATACTCAGTCCTATTACTCGTGCCCGAGCGTGGTGACTTCTCTTCATATAAATGTGTTGCGCATGTGGATTATACACATTGTATGTGGAACCTACAGTTTAACGCCGATTTCGAACGGCAATTTTTTAGAGAAGTTTTCGTGGTAAGACATACTCTCGGTGGTTTGCCATTGCCTTCCGAGAGGAGAACGAGCGAATAAAATTTTCTAGCTCTACCGGGAATCGAACCCGAGACCTTTGGCTCAATAGACCAGTGCGCTGTCTACTAGGCCACGCTCGTATTTTCTGTATAGTAATTTAAATAGAAAGATTCAGAATAAGAGATTTTTTTTTACTTATCTTTATTATTAATGCTTTCTTATAAACTAATAAAGACTATGAATATAATTTAGTCCAAATGTTAAATCTACATAAAATATTTCGAAAACCATTCTGTTTTATTATTCCGTCATGTATCATTATTAATAAAAAATTAAAAAATAATATAAAAAATTATTCATATTAAAAATTAGTTAAATTAGTTGATATTAAATATTAGTCACGTATACAAAGTATCTTTATTCCCATACAGCACAAAATATTATTTAAATATTTTTTAGGAAGATTAAAATAATTCACAAAAATATTTTTAGAGTGTTTGTATGTTCACCAGATTATGTCAAAAAAATATTTTTAAAAATATTTTTAAAATATTGCAAATAAATGTATTTAATAATATTTGTAAAATTTTTTAGAAATATTGCTTTGGAAAATGAAATATGTTTAACCCAATCAGCAATAATTGTTGCAAACCATCACGTTTAAAAGATTTTTTTAATATTTAAAAAATATACATCTTTACATCTGTTAACTGCTATAAACACTCGCGGTATCTTTACTCATTGTCAGTCTCGCGGTATTACTCGAAACTTTATCGCGGATGGTTCGTCGGTGGCTCGTAGGGATTCCCGATTCGGTATTCAATCAACATACGAAAACTAGAGTCTCGATATAAATGTCTTTAATATGATATCTCAGGATACACTCTTTTCACTAGAAATGCTTTGAAGTGTTCTTCTTCTCCTTCTTTCTTCACTGAAAGAAAAAAGAAGAGAAATGCTTCGAAGCATTTGTAGTGTTAAGTGGAACGTAGGCATAGACAAGGATAGCACCTAACATTGCACGGATACATACGCACGATACACATCGACATTATACTTTTATATTACGCTTCCAAATCTTGATTTGAGGGGTTTATCGATGTTTTTATTGTTGTGCAATTCAGGAGAACTTGTTTTCGCGTTCGTACCAATGGTATATCTCTTATATGAAATATATCTTGTGACGAGCTGACAGCTCGCCGCAACTCGAGACGTCATATTGGGATAAAAATAGATAAGAAAATCTGTACTTTCCCCTGAATCATTAATGTATGTACTGCAATTTTGGAAAAGGATTTTTAATTCTGTCAAATTAATACGACGCTACGTGACGACAAAGAAATGCCGTAATAATCAGACGGCTCCAGCATCACCTTAAGTATAAAAATTTAAGGACGTTCACCGGCAAAATCGTTTTCTTAGAAATTTTCTTAAACTTTCAGTATATGTTTAATTAAACGCGTTTTATACGTAGGCGTTTTATTCAATGCCCCTTGCGGTACTAAAATTTGAAATATTCAGCTTCAAAGTTCCGATTTTTAACACGGGATCCCTATGTTAAGCTGTCTCGACACGGACATTTTAATGAATAATAAGTACAGTTTTTTTTAAATTTTTTTGAAAAAATAGTATAAGGTGCCTCATATTATTAGTAACGTATGACAATAAAGTTCGATATAGCAAGGGGTATTTATTTTTGAGAAATAGTCGTCTAAAGAACACTATCGGACATAATTTTTGTCTGCTCGGAGGCAGGGAGAGGGAGAGATCACTGCGAGACTTGGCAACGTTGCTACCGCTGCGACATATAGGTTAAGTAGAGAACGTCAAGATCTTATGGGCAACGTTATTTAAATCAAGTTATTTAATCTTTTTTCTTTATGATTCATTATTATTTACTTTTAGAATGCTCAATAAACAAGTAGGATGTACTCATTTATGATTGGTATTGGACAAATGGAAACGGAACAAAAATTTGCCAGATCGAGTAAAACTGCGCGGCTAGACGAGTTTCAGACTTTTGCGCACGGAAGTAGTTGTTGAGCACAACTGCCACCGGAGAACGTCCTTAAAGTATAACCAATCGTAAGCATTGGATAAAATGTCATCTGTTCATGTGTCGTGCGTGTGTCATTTAGATGTCGAACACTTCACGTCAAACAAAACGTTGCCGCGAATACTACCGCACGATCATACTTTTTAACCAATGCGTACGATTGGTTATACCTTAAACCTTTTATATTTAAGAAACTATACTTTATGGAAAAAAATGGCATGCACTATTTAATTTTTTATGAACTTTTATGCTGCAATCTTATTACCCTCGAACTTCGGAACACTCTGTGTAGATGACTATAATAAATACACAATAAGAGCAAACTTTATATAATTTAAAAAATGTTAAAATTAATACCGGATCTGATTTTGCGCTAATCACAGATAGATTAAGTCTGAATAAATGTTAAATAAATGTTTCTTCAAATTATTACTGCAAAGGAATAATTAACGTTACGTAAATATTAAATAAACGTTAAATAAACATTAAATAAATATTTTCCATAAATCATTAATTCAAACAAATAATTATAATGTAAAATAAATATTTAATAAATGTTTAAAAAATATTTTTTTTGCAATGAATTGTACATTGTATAATTAACGAAAAATAAATATTAAAAAAACCTTTAAAAAATATTATCTGCTTATTATGTAGTAGACATGGATAAGTAGACAACACGTGGATATCTAATGGATATTTTTGATAGATATTTTGTGGACATGGATATGTGGATAACACATGGATATCTAATGGATATCTTTGATACACAGTTGGATTTATGTTAAATTTAACATAAATCACATGTCCCAAACGGTCCACTCAAATTTTTGTGTTAATTTAACATAATGTATGTCAAATTATGACACAAATATTATGTCCATAATTTAGCACAAAATAAACAAAAGTTTGTGAACGAAAATTTTATGTACGACAAACATCTGTATAATGTTATATATAAATAAAAAGAAAAATTTTTTAACAAAATTATATTATTTTTATGTTAATCTTACGATTATATGTAATATGTGTTATTTTAACATTTTATTTACTTAAATATGAATTTAACACAAATAAATCAGATAACATAATCAAAATTAGTTAAATTAACACATAAATATGTTACGTTTTTAATACAAAAATTTTAACAAAGACCTTTTTTAACAAAAATAAAATTTTTACTGTGTAGATATTTTGTAGACATGGATATGTGGATAACATGTGGACATGTAATGGATATCCCTGCTGGTTATTCGAGAGATATAGATATTTTTACATCTATTAGATATCTATTAAATATCCATAATAAATATGGACGTCATATGGATATGTAGATATCCAAAATATCTATTATAGATATTTTGTTCTGTATGAGTTCTTATAGGATATCGCTGGTCGTTCATCGGTCATCACGTTCAGTGTATGTATGTACAAGGGCCATTACAAAGAAGTTTTAGAATTATTTTAATAAACTATCAACAATCTATATATATAAGTACCGTCTTCTGTCTGTCTGTCTGTATGACCGCGAACTACTCATTCGTTAGTGGACCGAATTTTTACTAAAAATATATGAAATATGGGTAGAATTTTCTGGGGAGTGCCATGATGTGTATAATTTTTCGTTACCGATTTTCTGAAAACCGGTTTGGAAATTATTCAAATTGCGAGAAATAATAAGTATTAATTGACCGATTTTCTTGAACTCAGTGCCAAAATTTTTTAAATTTTTGGAGGATAAGTTTAATTTTTCATTAATAAATAATTTTTTATTAATGGATTGATTTTTTTGAAACCAGTGCCAACATTTTTCTATTTTTTGCTTCCTCATAGAGAAAGCTTTGTTTTCGTAAAAAAAATTTTTTTTTGGTTGCTTTTGCCAATGTGTTCAGAATGTTCTAAAACGTCGAAAAATCGCTATTTTAAAAAATGTCGGTATGTGTGTATGTATGTGTGTATGTGTGTATGTGTATGTGCCAAATTTACCGAAATTTCTATAGCAATTCCGCAAATATTGAGATATCGGGCTGTTTTTTTTTTTTTTTTTTAATCGATAGAGTCTCGTTCAAGGAAGGTTGGTATTGAAGGTTAACGATGATCGATAAAGAGGTTCTTTTTTAAAAAAATTTTAAATTTTTTTAGAAATGTTCGTGGTTGCTCTAACTTCCGCAAATATTGAGATATCGATCTATTTCTAATTTTATTATATTCTTCAGTCTTTTCTACCCCTATTTCATATATAATTTTTTAAGATTTGGTTGATTAGACCCAGCTTTATACGCGATTAAAGGTCCATAATTTTGATCGCATATAAAGCTAAGTCTAATCAACCGAATTTAAAAGAATTATATATGAAATAGAGGTAGAAAATACCGAAGTAAAAATTGTTTTTTGAGTTTTCGATGACATTGGTTGATTAGAACCAGCTTTATACGCGATCAAAGGTCCATAATTTTAATCGCATATAAAGCTAAGTCTAATCAACTCAATTTAAAAGAATTATATATGAAATAGGGGTAGAAAAGACCGAAGTAAAAATTGTTTTTTGAGTTTTCGATACCAATGTGTTGCTTATGTTCGAAAACGTCGAATTTAAATTTTTTGAGGATCGGTTTTGAGGATCGGCTATCCATCCAATAACTTAGGGTAGATTAAGGCGAATCGGATTAATATAAGTTTCAAAAAATAATGTTTTAAGATAATAAAAAAGTGTGCAAGTAGAAACTTGCACATTGCTTCCTTATAGTTCTTAAGTGTGCAAGTAAAAACTTGCACATTACTTCCTCATAATTCTTAAGTGTGCAAGTAGAAACTTGCACATTGCTTCCTCATAATTCTTAAATGTGCAAGTAGGAACTTGCACATTGCTTCCTCATAGTTTTTAAGTGTGCAAGTAGAAACTTGCAGATTGCTTCCTCATAGTTTTTAAGTGTGCAAGTAGAAACCTGCACATTGCTTCCTTTAAGTTTTTAAGTGTGCAAGTAGAAACCTGCACATTGCTTCCTTTAAGTTTTTAAGAGTGCAAGTAGAAACTTGCACATTGCTTCCTGGCAATCGTCAAGGCTTCGTGGCAGCGCCGCGGAAAGAGCAGATTCTCCCCAGTGGCGGCCGCCCCACTTGCCGTTGACAGCAGATAAAATAAAAGCTTCCTTATAGAGAAAGCTTTGTGAGCAAAGGTTTCTACTTGCACACTTAAGAACTATGAGGAAGCAATGTGCAAGTTTCTACTTGCACACTTAAAAACTATGAGGAAGCAATGTGCAAGTTTTTTCTATATTATTTATCTTTCGATTATTATTCTGTTGTCACAGATTTTCTTGTTTGTTGATGATTTTGATGAAACTGGTACCAAAAGATTACTAATTTTATGGGGATGGCTACTTTGGGGTTGAAAATTGGGTTTCATGGGGTTCTATTAGTGCTCCTAATTAATGGGTGAGTTTAGAGAGAGGGGACTAGATTTTGAACCCGCGCGAAACGCGGGCGAAAAATCTAGTATTTCTGATATATTTCAAAAAAATTTCAGCCTATTCAATAATATTTCAGAAAAGTTGCAAATATTTTCAGTAACCTTTCAGCAAACTTTCTATAAAGTTTCAAGTGCAAGGACTTTTGCTGTTGAAAAACTGTCTCAGAGTTGTTGCAGAAATAATTTGCAATATTTATTCTGATATATTTTTGTGCTGTATGGAAGAAGACACATGATCGACACCGAATTCGATTTGCTTCTTAATAACGACGAAAAAAGAACATGGACAGCCTTAAAAACAGTTATAATAAATTTCCTTGAGAATTCTCAATCTCCAAATTTTGAGATTATGATTTACAAAATGTTAAATGTATTTCATATTATAAAAGTTGCTATGGCTCTTAAAGTACATTTTCTGCACTCACATCTTAATTTCTTTCCACAAAACTTGGGAGCTGTGAGTGATGAACGTTTTCACAAAAACATCCAAAAAATAGAGAAACATTTAATGGAGATCGAAGTCAATAACAAGTAGGATTAATTGACTGATTACTGCTGAAGAAGATGAGTATAAACGACAAGCAAAACGTACAAAACATTAAGTCTAAAATTTTGAATATATTAATTATAAAGGACATTTAAGTTTTTCATTCAGTAAAAAAAAAATCCTCCCGAAAAAATTGCGTTTATATATTTGTTTAAAATTCTACTTTTAAATACCTTTCCAACGATTTGTAAAACATATCTTTAGTAGAATTTTTTATTTTTTTTTTATTTTTTAAATTTTATTTTATAACCTCATAGAACTCCAAAGCTTTCAATCAAGTATAACTCAAAAAGGAGTAAATTACGTTACTCAGAAGACTGACAATGAGCTGAATCACCCTCAGTAAAGAAAACTTGAGAAATTATGGAACGTGTTGTACAGTGTAATCATTTAAATATCAAAAAGCTTAAAAGATTTTATTGATTTAAAATATATATTTAGTTTTCAAAGAATTTACATCGAACATCAATTACATCCATTTCCTTTATTCTAATATTAATTACTAATATTGAAATTAAAAAAAATGTTATCCTACCTATTTACTATTATTGTATGTCTAGTTGGACCATCGTCAGCGAGTAAACTGTCATCATCGTCACCTTCAGCAGTACATGATAATGGTGGACATCAAACAGCGACCAACAACGTTTTGCAGTGGCCGAGTCCTCACACTGTACACGACATTCTGGCTAATAGTTGTAATGTACAAAACTCCTCGTCATCCTCTTCACCAACTTCATCACTATGTTCTACGATCAATAATAATAATCATCATCACAACCGTCATGAGAACAGTTCTGTTCACAACAATAATAACAACAGTAATAATGAAAATAACAATGATCATAGAATATCGAGTGGGTATCTTCACCACCATCATCCGCATCTGGCACATCATCAACAGTATTATGCCTCAGCACTCTATCATCATCATCATCATCATCATCATACAAATGCCGTGACGACAGCCAGCATATCATCTACGCTCTCTGTACAATCCATTATGTTGCAGTCAGGAACAACAAGCCAGCCAGCCAGCCCTTGCAATTAGATGAAATAATATATATTATTTTATGCATCAGGAATAATAGATAATCAAATAATCAGTGTTTTTATTTTCTGTATGCAAATGAATTTCTTAAATATATTTTTACGCATTATAGTATTAGAATGAGGCTTTTTACATTAAAATATAGTTTAAGTAAAAATAAGTGATACATACTTCATTGTCACCGGTATTTTACAATGATAAAAAATGTAGTTAATTAAATTTTTTCTTGTTATCTATAGATGTTATGATTGAATATTAATATAATAATTGAAATATAAACAAACTTTTGCATAAACTTTTTGATGAAATAATTAACCAGCAAAAGTAGTATAAATTGGTACTTATAATTACAAAGAATTTAGTAAATAAACAAACAAATATAATTAGCAGGTATAAAAATTAAAAAAAAAAAAATTACATTTTCTGAATATTATCTCCTTTATAAAAATACATTTATTTATTATGTATCAAAAGGCTTGCAAGATTAAAAATAAATCAAAGAAAAAGGAGCATCGAGTCGCAACGAGGTGGAAGTGTTAAAAAATTCTATATTACAAATTGACAAACGTTTCGGCCCCTTATGGGACCATCTTCATTGTCAAATAACAATTAGGACTAAAATCGGAAAAAGTTAACATACATACTCTTACACTAAAATTAACGCAACTAAATTAACGCTACTAAAATTAACGCCACCACGTTGAATCCGAAGTGGACCATACTGTAACAATTGTGATTTAATTAATTCGGCGGGTTTGTAGAAGAAACTGACATACCGAAAGATGAGTTTATATTAGGCATTCGTTTAGTGTTAAACTCCACTTTTTTTTATTTTTAATAACCGTATATATAAACAGATTTTTGGCTCTCTTATGGGTTCTCCTCTCTCACCAATCATTGCTGACATCACACTTCAAGACATCGAGAAAAAGGCGATCCTTCTGCTGCCTTTTCACGTAACGTTTTTCCGTAGATACGTGGACGACGTTATTATGGCAGCTCCTCCGGAATTTTTCGATCGCATCTTAGAAATTTTCAACTCTTTGCACCAGAGACTACAATTTACTATGGAAATTAGTGAAAACAATAAGCTTGATTTTCTCGATGTCACTGTGATGGTGAGTGTTACGGAATGCACCCCTGATTGATTTGCACGGTTTAACCGATTCTAGAAATATTCTAAACGCTTCGAGAAATATACACGATTCTAGAAGTATTTGGAAGCGCTCTGTGACATCCCACTCTCGGTACTTCTCGACTTCTCACCGACACACCTGTTTGCATGTGTTTGGAACGTAAACATATTGTTTCGATGTCCTTATATGGGCATAACATGACAACTCTTAATCTAATTGGTTCTAACACAAAACTTCGACACAAGTATATGTGAGGTGAGAGGTGGGGTACACGAAGTCCTCCCGACCGAAAGTCAGTCTGACAAAGGAGCGATCGAAATAAAGTCATACGCGCAGATCACGAATCTCGTTACCGCAAGCTGTAAAGGCAATAATTAAACTAAGACTGTAAATAGATACGTAATAAAGTGTTCTGTAAAGTGTCTGTATATTGTTTGAGTATCTCTCGACCCTCCGAAAAGTGCATCCTTTCCACGATGATCCAGCAATCATAAAACGCGGAAACATTGGTCCTTCGAGCCGGATTCGGAGCGAACAAACGGACACGAAAGTAACGGACGTTTACAACTCGAAAGATTTGAGACGTCAGGACACGGTCAGTGACAGACGGCTACATTCTACGTGGAGTGCCCAACTCGTCTACCCAACGCGAGGAGACGCAGGTCGACAGCCCGGCACCACGAGAATCCGCGATCTGTAATATGTAATGTGACGCAAGCATACGCTTTCTCGCTCATACAGACTATAGTCAGACTCCAGCCAACACGCTCTTCGCGCGTGAAACAAGCCTCTCTGTCGCGATCACTCTTTACGATCAGCTGAGTATAAGGCGCCGAGCCAACAGTAACGCGCGGTCGTTCCCGCCCCACCACGCATTGGCTGCGCCGAATTCGAGAACGTACGGTTCACCGCACAACGGAGCGAGAGCTATACAGTTATAAGAAGATAATCTCTCACTCATATTCAATTAAAAGCTTGCAATTACATTGTTCGACCGCAAGAACGAGGTACGAAATTCGCCATGGAGTCGATGGAGGAGCTATTGGCCGCACAGACCAGCACACAGACGTTAATCATCCGGATCCTGACGAATTTCAACAAGCTCGCCAAAGCGAAGAAAACCGTGTCAGCCGTTCGAAGCCGATCAATAGTCTCAAAGGGTACTGGGACGTCATCCATGTCAATCATGCGAAGCTTTGCGCCCTTGCGGACGAGGGGATACGCTAGAAGGACGAATACTTCCAAAAATTGCATGAGGCAAGATCATCGATAGTTTAATTACCGCGAATTGATATTCCTAAATTCTCGGGAGAGATCACGAAATTGAAGAATTTTCGTGACGTTTTTGAATCGTTAGTCGCGAATAGAACCGATTTAACGAATGTACAAAAATTACATTACCTCAAGGCGAACTTAACCGGAGCCGCGAGTTTAATTTTGTCAAACCGACGCTAATTATAATACCGCGTGGGAATTGTTACGAAAGCGTTATGATAACCTGCGAGCTATAGTGAATGCGCATCTCCAAGCGTTCATGGATATTCCGTGTGTGAGCGCCCATTCCGTGAGTGATTTAGAGAACCTGCGAGACAAGACTAACGATATTTATACGGCATTGTTAAATTTGAAACGACCCGTTAATCAATGGGAAGATTTAATGCTATTTGTTGCTGTCTCACAGCTTGATAAAGACACTCGGCGCGACTGGGAGCTCTCACTGGGAGATACGGGAGAAATTCCAAGTATCGAGGAACTTGACGCCTTTTCTCACTTCGCGAATTCGGGCGCTCAAGGCCGTACATGGTAGTAGTCAGAATTCTAATAAGTACGAAACAAAAAAGTAACGTCAAATAAAACAAGTAACGTTAAGGCGCATCAGGTTTCTACAAATAACGGAAAGTGCTTGACATGCGAAGGGAATCACCCCTTAAATCATTGCAAAACGTTTCTCAATCAATCCGTTACACAGCGAGCCGAGGTTTTGAAGAATCATAAGTGCTGCTTTAATTGTTTACGCCAAGGACATTTACCTTGGGTTTGTAAAAGTAAGAATGTTTGCACGCTTTGCAAGCGAAAACATCATACCCTAATACATCGCGAGAAATACGCTGAAATGAATGAGATTCCTGCATCGACAAGTAAAGGCGAACAGAACGCTGTTACCACGTCGAATTTGACCTCCACTCAGGAGGAACGGTCAAATAAAGGAGTAGTTTCTAGTAATAATTTCTCGAATACGACAGTCAACACTACATTAATGCCTACCGCGTCCGTTCTACTCAAGAATAAATCCAGACGATCCGTACGCATTAGGGCTTTACTTGACCAAGGATCACAAGCCTCTTTTGTAACCGAGTCGGTCGTACAACTTCTTGGCGCGGAGCGAAAACGCGTATCGATTCAGGTTTCCGGTATAGGGGGATCTAAGGCCGGGAGTAGTAAAAGCATTGCCTCCTTTACAGTGGAGCCGTGTTCTCAGGGAGGTCCTGTCCTACCTTTCAAAGCTTTCGTTTTGCCGAAAGTAACTAATTATTTACCTCAACTTACTATGATGGATGAAATGTGCCGGTACCTGAGCTCTTTAGACCTTGCAGATTCGGAACTCTCTAATCAACAGGGTATCGATCTGCTTATAGGAACCGATTATTATGGAGCCGTACTGCGTGACGGGTTAATCCACGGTCCTTCAGGGGGTCCCATAGCGCAACTCACCATCTTCGGCTGGGTTGTATCAGGGCCAATCCAAAATACCTCGCAAACTCTTAATAACTATCGCATAAATGTTAATCATGGCGTCGCTTTAGACTCTTTAGATGAATCACTACGTAGTTTTTGGGAACTTGAAGAGGTTCCTTGCGGCAACTTGCTCTCGGAGGAGGACATTCGGTGTGAGGCACATTTCGCCAACACACACTCTCGCCTGCCCGACGGACGATGCGTCCGATTACCCTTTAAAACAGGCCCTCCAATTCCCATTGGTGACACCGAACAGGTAGCCAAACGTATCTTCATCTCTAATGAAGTTAGAGTATCCCGACAGCTTGACCTAGCTAAGGCTTATCGCGACTTCATGAGAGAATACGAAGACCTTAATCACATGAAGAAAGCGCCTTCTTCCGAGACTACCAGACAGAGAGTGTATTTTCCTCATCATGCCACAATTAAAGAAACTAGCCAAACGACGAAGGTTCGCGTCGTATTTAATGCCTCTAAATGTTCTTCGAATACTACGTCACTAAATGACTTTCTAATGGTCGGCCCTAAATTACAAGCCAATCTCTTTGCGGTAATCTTGAGGTGGCGGAGCCACAGATATGTCTACACTACAGACATCGAAAAGATGTTTCATCAAATTCGTGTTCATCCCGAAGATGTCGAATATCAGTGTATCTTCAGGCGAGCTCATCCCAATGCAGAACTGATTGCGTATTGGTTACTAACGGTGACCTACGGGACTGGTCCGGCCCCTTTTCTAGCCAACCGCTCCGTGAAACAGCTTGCAAAGGATGAAGGGGAGAAGTTTCCTCTAGCCATCCCTATTCTCGAGGAGGAGACATATGTAGATGACATTATGTTTGGCGCTAAGGATCTCATTCTTCTTAAACAAACGCGTGATCAGCTAATTCAGCTCCTCAAGGCGGGTGGTTTTCGTCCGTATAAATGGGCTAGTAATGACCCTCGCTTATTGCAGGATATACCTGAAGCCGACCACGGATTGGCTGTCGACAAACATTTAGGTGACGATTCAAGCTTACGAGTACTAGGTATTGTGTGGAATCCTAACACGGACTCATTCCAGGTCCACACGCATCTCACTACGGACTTGCAATTTACCAAGCGTTCATTCCTCTCCCTACTGTCTCGAGTCTTTGATCCTCTCCATTGTACGACGACCCCGAGAGTTTTGACACGTTAACCCCGGGCCACTTCCTTGTCGGATCCAGGGTATGGACACTCCTATATCAAAATCAAACGGTATTTCTGCGCCATCTAGGCGAATAGACGGATTTTTTGGAACTAAAATGCAGATTTTTTACTCGCTCGCTCACGTAAATTCAGTATTCTTGTTCTCGTTCATTCTCGTCGTTCGAGCTACGAATAAACACGTGTTATTGTGTAGAATTGTGAAGTAGCCAGTGTTGCGTACACATCAAAGGTGGTTTTTCGCTAGTTTTATGCAAATACGATTTTGAATATCGTTTGCACATAACGATTGTACGTACAGTATTTATTTATAAGGTATGTGCACACAAATTATACTAATATTAAATATATATTTAACATCTTTCTCTTCAATGTTTATAAATTTGCATAAAACTAATCATCTAATTGATGAATCTAACTAACCTATCAGTTATAATACTTTTGTTGCAGAATAAAAAATGAGTAAAATAGGTTGGAAATGTATAATCGGAAGATGTACATCTCCTGCTAAAACTCCTGGGCATTATTTTCCTAAAAATAAGGAACTAATGAAGAAATGGCTAGAAGCAATATCAGTGCCATGGATATCAAATCTGTCAGAAGAAGAAATAAGAAAATGCAGAATTTGCCATATACACTTTAGTGAAAATTCATATATTTTTACTCTTAATCGTAGACGATTAAAGCATGATGCTATTCCAAGTTTAAATTTATTAAGTGGAATAATTGAAACTTCTGAGCCTAATATGAATCAAGTTCAAGAAGAAAATAATGGAATAATTAATATTTCTCAGCCGAGTACAAGTCAAGTCCGAGAAGAAAATACTACATCGAGAATCAATTTAAATATTGATGTATTTGAAAAAGAAATACAACAATTTGATCCAGAAATCTTAGAAGTTTCAAAAAGTGTTAATCGTTACAAACCATGTTCGTAGAAATGCTATTCCAAGTTTAAATGTATCAAGTGAAATAATTGAAACTTCTAAGCCTAATATGAATCAAGTTCACGAAGAAATTAATGGAATAATTGATATTCCCCAGCCTAGCACAAGTCAAGTCCAAGAAGAAAATACTACATCAAGAATCAATATAAATATTGATGTATTTGAAGAAGAAACACAACAGTTTGATCCAGAAATTTTAGAAATTTCAGAAAATGTTAATTGTACAAACCATGGTCGTAGAAATATACTTGGCAATGTAACGAGGAAAAATAACTTGACTCCAATAGCAAAAGGACTATACACTAAAAGCAGAATGTTTCAAATACAGAATAATGCCTTGCGCAGGAACCTTTTATATTATAAACAACGTCT